GGGGGAGGCACACACCTGGAATCCCAACACTCAGGAGGCTGAGGCAAGAGGACTTCCGGGCATTCAAGGCCAAACGAGGCCCTGTAATGAGTTCAAGGTCAGCCTGGACTTCATAGTCAAAGAAAAAGAAAGAATAAAAATAACTCAAATGCCCATCCATCCACTGAAGGGATAACTGGAGAGCTTAAAAAGCAGAAAATGAGGGCCGGGGAGACAGCTCAGTAGAGTAAGCACTTTTGCCTGGCAAGCACAAGGTCCTGAGTTTAATCCCCAGTACCGCAAAAACAAACAAACAAAACCCAGAAAATGGAAAAACAAACAAACAAACAGAAAAATGACTGAATCTGGTTTTACGGTACCGGTACCGCTGTGCTTGTTTTCTCACAATTAGGAAACTTAGGCAGAGGCTCCCAGTGGGAGGTGGACTGTCTCTACTCCTGCAGACTTAGCTGGGGAAATCAGCAGGGCCTGGGGGTCAGAGCCCAGGTGACCCGCTGGGAGCTGGCAGCTGCTCTAGGAGAGCAGCTGGGGGGATCTGTTACCCCACAAGAGACTTCTCACAGCACAGTGCTCTGAATATAATCAAATATCTGGCGATGCAACCCCGACCTCGTGCGTGCTAGGTGAGCACCCCACCACTAGGCTGCATTCCCAACCCCAAGGGAACAGCTGAGGTGGTGATGAAAGAGTGCTAAGAATGCACAAGCGAGTCCCGGGCACAACAGTGCACACTTCAACCCCAGCCCTTGGGAGGCTGAGGTGGAAGGATTGCAGTGAGTTTGAGGCCAGCTTGTCTGAAAAAAACAAAAACAAGCAGAATGGAAAAAGTCATTTTGCTAGAGCTTCTTAAGACTCAGGCCTGGAACTGGCAGAGGATGAGGCAGGGGCCGGGGATATAGCTCAGTGGCACAAGCACTTGCCTGGCAAGCACAAAGTCGAATACTCAGATGCATTTCACTGAGTGACCCAGACTTCCAGGAACCGCCCTGCCATAGAGGAATCCAAGGTTAGGTTATGCTGCATAACAAACAGCCTCCCTGACTCAAGGACTTCACACAAAAAGGGTTCCTGCCTTTTCCAGGCTCATCCTGCCAGCTATGGGCCCCCTCCTCCATACAGTCTCTCCTGGACTCGGGCATCATCGGGACCTAGTTTTGTGGAGTTTTTTGTGGTACCAGGGATTGAACTCAGGACCTTGTGCGTGCCAGGCACAAGGCTTATTCTACTGAGCTATCTCCCTAGCCCCATAGGACCTAGTTTTGCCATGGCTGTCAAAGACCAGAAGGTGGGGCTGGGGAGATGGCTCAGTGGAATAAGCGCTTCCCTGGCAAGTGCAAGGGCCTGAGTTCAATCCCTGGTTCTGCAAAAAAAAAAAACAACAACAACAACAAAGAAGGTGCGGAGGACCGCATGCAGCTTCTGCTGCTTCCTTGGCTGAAACCAATCACATGACCCTGTGGTGGGCGGGGCTGGGAAAGGGGCACCTGGGAAAATGGGAGAGACTTGCTGTCTTGGCCACTTGGGACAAATGACTGTTTTATGGTGACACATAAAATTCAAGATGCTGCATGTTTCAAGATAACACAGGAAACAGGAAAAGGCCAGCGATTGGGAGTGATTTAGTTTTTGGGTTGAGCACTGAAGATTAAAAAAAATTAATGAATGAATGGGTAGGTGGATGAATAAATAGAGGTACAGAAGCCTCCAGGCTCCAAATGGCCCTCTCATAAATACACACAGAGCTCAGGGCTCGGGTTACCCAGCCTCAAAAGAACAAAGATGAACAAAATGCTACTCACCCCTTCCAGGCTCCCAGCCCAGCAGGCTCAGTCAGCACAGGAAGCAAGTAGGCCCCCAAAGCTCAGAGGGTGCTCTGTGGAGGCCTCATTTCTGAGGGCTGTGAAGGGTGGGTGGTCACAAAGGATGAGTAGGAGTTCAGCAGACCTCTCAGAAACACTGTGGGCCGGTGGGTGCAGAGCGTGGTTACAATTGAGCCCTGCGTCAGGACTTGGCCTCAGAGGACGCTCTCCAGCTGGAGGGTAGCACCCCTGCCATCCAGACAACCACTGAGCAGGGCTGTGAAGACCCATCCCAAGCTCCCATCCCAGCTGCACAGCTCCGCATGGGGTCAGTCTAGGCCTCTGCAGACCTCCATCTCCTATCTCCATCTGAGCGCAGCTCCTCCCGGCCCAATATCCACTTTCCCTACGGAGCAGGCACGGTCTGCAATGTGCTGCTCCCCAGTAACCCTCCCCACCCCAATCTCCACTTCACTGTGCCCTGGGAAACCTACCAGAGACACGTGGGACCATTTAAGTCATTATACATTTCCCAGCATGCTCCTCTCAGGGGCATTAAGGCCTTCCCACTTTACATATCCGACCCTTTTGTATTTTATTATTGTTATTTTTTAATCTGGAGACAGGGCCTTGCTAAATTGCTAAACTGCTTCAACGTGTAATCCCCCTGCCTCAGCCTCCCACAGTCCTGGGGTACAGGTATGTACCACCGTGCCCAGCTATTATGTGAACAAACTTAATGTAGAATAGAGCTTCATGCAAAGGCATGAGTTTCCAATAGTGACATTGTAAGCTTACATGGTGGACTTGGGAGGCTGGACTTTGTGGCATGAATTCTGTCACCGATTGGTCTGTGACAGTCTAGTCCCAGTGCTCACCTTCATTTCTCCGCCCTCTCCTGCTGCAATTAGTGTGATGGGTGCTGGCCAGGTGGGGACTCCCAAACTCATTACTTTAAAAGACAAAAAAGCCAGCAGGACATCTTTGGGCTCGGTAGTGTTGTTTCTCTGTTCCGCCTTTTTTCTGGGGGGTCTCACTTCTTGGGAGTCTGTGTGGAGGTAAATTTCTGTGAAAGATGACTGTGCCGCCCTGGGAGTCCCCAGGTCTTTTCTAAGAAGTGGTGACATTGTTCCCATACTTCCTGTCCCTTCCTGGGTAGCTCCTACAGCCGCCACCAGCCTACTTCACATCCTCCTTCTTCAGGCCCTGGCTTCCCTCCTCTTCCTTCAGCCACTTCCCCCAATCTGGGGCATGAGCTAAGCCTCTCTCTGTCCCCGGACAGGGTCCGAGGAGGTGTCCTCAAGCGGAGATGGGACCTCAGCTTCCCCTACTCGCAGGAGGCTGCAGATGCTGGACATCAGGGCGGGCACCACTTAGTAGGGCCTCGCCTGAGGAGGCAGGTGAAAGGAGAGTGCACAGTGGGAGTGCACAGTGGGGCCCAGCACATGGGTCCTTTGGTAGCTTAGAGACCCTTCCCGATGAGCTTCCTGGAGGGGTGGTGGCTTTGTCACCTCAGGTAACTATGCGCTGATGCTGTAGTTTTTCTTCAAAGTATAGTTTTAAAATCAGAATTTTTGCCAGGGATATAGCTCAGTGGCATAAGTGCTTGCCTGGCAGGCTCAAGGTCCTGAGTTCAATCCCCAGTACAATAAATAAATAAATAAATAAATAAATAAATAAATAAATAAAATAAATCAAATCAAGTCAGGATTTTCCTTGTCTCCTTTTACCTGTCTTTTCTTCTACCTCACCTCCATCCCAGAGCCTGGCCACCTACTTTCTGGGGACATTGGCACGGGCTGTGGTAGTGGTGAGCTCAAAGGTATTAAAAAACAAAACAATACAAAAAAATCCTACTTGCTCATGTCAACAACAACAAAAAGAATTGTTTTATTGTGAAGCTTAACACCACAAAACTTTAAATAATTCACCACAAGCCTTCACTGAGAGGCCTTCCCCTGCCCCCAAAGGAAACAGACAGACAATGTCAAGTCTATGTAAAGCTCCTGAAAGCCCAGCCTGCGCTGGGCATGGTGGGAAGAAGTGGACATAGGGCCAGGGTGGGCAAGCCCAGCGACCAGGCGGAAGGACTCCAGGGCCAGGTGGGCAAGGGGCCGGGCTGTGCCCCCACCCGCTGGAGTTCTCTGCTGCTGCAGGACAGGCCAGGAGAGGACAAGAGGAGGAGACCAGAGCTCCTGAGGTCAGCACACGTACAGTAGAGGAAGGCCGGGCATGTCTGGGCAGAGACTTCCAAGCACTCAGCAGCTGAGAGGTGCAGTCCTCGCTGCGCACAGCTGAGATTCTATTTTTTAGTGGGATTTCTGTTCAGATGAGCACTCCATTGTCTACAGTTTCTCAAAAGAAAAACTGTAGATATCTCAGGTGAGGGCAGGAGGCAACAGGTGAGGGGCAAAGGGCTTTAAAGGGGCAGCTGGAACCCTCATTTCTGCATCCTTTTTTTTTTTTTTTTTTTTTTTTTTTTTTTTTTGCAGAACCGGGGATTGAACTCATGTATCCTTTTTTCTTTTTGAGATAGTCTCACTATATAGTACAGACGGGCCTGGAGTTGATTCTGTAGCCCAGACTGGGCTCGAACTTGTGGCAGTCCTCCTGCCTCAGCCACCTGGGTGTTGGGCTCACAGGTGTGCGCTACTATGCCCAGTTTGAGTCTCTATCTTTTAGAATCATTAGCGAGCACTTGGAGAATTGTCCCTTATCAGTGTTATAAAGGCAGGAAGGCTCATGAAAGGGACAGAGGCATTGTCCTTATGCAACAGCATCAGAAATAAAGGTGGCCGGTGAGGGGCTTTGTCACAATGCAAAAGGCTAACTGTGGCCATTTGTTTGCATTGTGATCAGAGCTGGGTCCCTGGACTGCGAGCCTCAGTATCCCCAGCACTATGAGACCATCTGCGACACAACTTGGTCCCCTGTCCCTAAAGTCAATCACAGCCACAGATTAGAAAGCCTGCCCAGACCAGAGCCGGTCAGTGTGGCTCCAGGGGCTCATCCTCACAATGCTGTCCCCTTCTGAGGACTGACGCCCCGCTGCTGGTCCCGCTATTGGGAACATCTGTCTGTGTCCAGCACACAGACCGGTGACAGGGCTGGGGCCAGGACAGGCGGTGGCCGGCAGGACCCGCCCCTTGCCCGCCCGAGGACCGCCCACGGCTGGGGCGGGGCCGCAGTTCTTATAACCGGCGCTGGGGGCCGAGCCCGCAGAGGAGCAGTAGCTGCTGAGCGGTGCTGACCGGTGAGGGACCCGGGAGTGTAGATCGGGGATCTGGACTCGGGAACCGCGAGCGTAGACTGGAGATCGGGGATCAGGATCCAGCACGGAACTTCTCAGAACCTCGGGGACGCCTAGAAGCGAAAGAAGGTGAGGCGGCCGTGAAGGGAGCTCGAGGCGCGTCCCGCGCGTCCGCGGGCTGCGTGTCCTCGGTGCGCGCTGGCTCGCAGGTGTTTCCGCGGAAGTCACAGCGTGGCCCTGACGGAGACGTGTTTGTGGTCGCGGACACCAGGGCCCAAGGAAGTGGCGCAGGTTTGGCTGTGTTAAGGACTCGCATGGACAGCGGGACCTCGAGCCCTTGCCACCGGCTGTCCTGGAGGGTGGAGACCGAGCCGTGTCCCCGGGAGGGACAGGACGCGGATGGAGCGAGCTCACTGGAAACCCGACCCGGCGAGCTCGGGGGCTCCTGGGGTTGCTGCGTCCGGCCTCTAGGTCCAGGTTCTTACACCGCTCGCGTCCCAGCCCCCCTGGGCGCCGAGGTCAGCGCGGGCTGTCCCTGAGTCCCAGCAACGTGCCAGGACATGTCCTCGAGGACGACGAGGAGGTGACTCACGATGACAGAGACCCCCGGGGAACGGGCCGTGAGCTCAGCACCCCGCCCCGGCTGGGGAGCACAACCCCCAGAACTCCCTTCCCGCCCGCCCGGCCGTCCCTGTCCTGCCCGTCAGCACAGTGACCTATTTGGCCGGCACACGCTGTTCCCAGGGAGGCGGGACACCGGGAGGTCTCCGGCGTCCGGCGCGCCCTCGGGGACGCGGAGCCGGGCAGGGGGCTGGGCGGGGCTCGCCCCGCCTGCTCGGGGGCGCAGGGTCCCCGGGTCCCAGAGGAGAGCGCGGTCGGGAGGCGCATCCGCGGCAGAGGCGGGGACGCTGCGCCCTCCGTGCGCCCCGGTGCCCGGCGGCTCCGGCCCTGGGGTCGCCCGGCAGCTTCCTTTCTATTTCCGTCCCTCCACGTCGCGTTTCTGGGAGGGCTCCCAGGCGGTTTTGTTTTCTTGCACTCGTCTATTTTTATTTTCCTGGGATCTGACTCATCCCGTGCTTTGGGCGTGGAGATAAGGTGGAGGGGTCGCGGCTCTGCGCCCCGGCGCCCCTGCGCGTGTCCGCGGGTCGTGCGCTGGAGCCCGGCTCGCGCGTGCGTGGGCCGGACCCTGCCCGAGCGTGGGTCCCCACGGCCGCGGGGTTCCGAGAGCCTCCCGCCCAGCGAGCGTGACGCGTTCGCGGCCCCCAGCCCCTCCTGCTCCACTGCCCCCGCCCCGGCCCCACCCCGGGTGACGCGCAGCAGCCCGAGTGGAAGCGAAGTTTTGGCGGGCGGGGAGCGGCTCTGCAGGAAACTGAGTCATCCCCGTCGGTCGCAGCCGCGGCCCCGGCCCTGCCCACGCGCCTCCGCCCCGAGCGGGATTTCCTGGAGCCCGGCGCCCCCTCGCGGCCTCTGCGCGAGGAGCAGACCACCGAGTCACCGCTGCCCCGGCGCACGCCGGGCGCGCTCCCGACTCTGCTTAAATAGACCTCGCTCGAGCGAGCGGTTCATAGGGGTCCACACCTGTAATCCCGGCACTCTAGGAGGCCGAGGCGGAAGGATCACAGTTCAAGCCCAGTTTGGGCAATTTAGCACAGATGGACATGAGAGAGCCGTGTTCGGTCCTGGAACACAGGACTCAGGACACACAAGGCTGTGTTTGAATCCTGCCTCACCGGTGAGCTGTGACCCTGGACAAGTTATTTAACTTATCTGAGCCTTGATGCCTCTCCTGTAAAAAGGAGTTGTAAATTGCTTGGAAAGTCTAAGTATATCCCAAGGCCTGCCCTGATGAGGATGGCCAGAGGTTTTCTGGGGGATGGGGTTGTTGTCTGCTACACTGTGACCTGTTTTTGAGACAGTGGATCTTGGCCCGTTTACTTGCTGGATTTAAGAGAAAGTTTCATCAGCCCTCAAGCTCCTGCCCGAAAGCCAGCTGTGCAGCTTGTGTGTGTTTCTTCTGAAAACCTAGAGCCTTCCAGCGCCCTGCTGCCCCTTGGCCAGGCAGGCTGTGCAGCCCAGCTCCCGCGCTGCCCTACTGCTGGACGCAGCACAGGGACCACAGCGGGCAGGTCCCTCAGGGCCTTCGATGGCCAGCTCGCCCTCCACTTTCCCTTCGGGGTAGAGGGGCGGAGCCCGGTAGAGGGCAGCCTCTAATTTTCTGTACCTGCAGAACGGGTTCCTGGGAGGCGTCTAGACTTCGGATCACCTGATGCACCTGGCAGGGTGGGGCTCTAGTCCTCGCCCAGCCTGCCTGGCCCCTCCTGTCCCCGCCCAGCCTGCCTGGCCCCTCCTGTCCCCGAGGCCACCCGCCTGATGACACCTTGGGAAAGGCCCTCAGCCTTTGGCTCCTGTCCTGTCAGCTGTCTGCAGGAGGTGGCCCAGAGCCCCGGGCAAAAACTGGAGCACTTCTAAGGGTTCCCATGTACCAACCAGTTACTGTGTCCCACCGTGTGACCCAAGAGACAGTTCCCCCTTGTACAGAGCAGGGCTCTCCTTATACAGAGCAGCAAGTACAGCCCAGACATGGGAGGTCACCTGTGCAAGGTGATCCACTGTTGGCTCCACCGGGACACACACAGCCTTGGAACTTCCCACTGCCTGGAATGATAGCCGCCTTCCCTGCCCAGGGCCCAAGCACGCATCCAAGCCATGGTCCTTAAACTGCCCAAGGCCTTGTTATAGACAAGGAGAAGTGGCTTTTTCTTACACAACGCAGCTGGGATGACCTGGCTGTCCACCCTGCCCCCACCTAGTGCTCGGGACAGGACTCAGGGCCTCACACATGCCAGGCAGGTTCTCAACCACTGACCTATGTCACTATCCCTTTTTACTTTTCATTTTAAGACAGAGTCTTGTTAAGCCACCCAGATTGGCTTCAAACTTGGGAACCTCGACTATAGGATGTCCTGCCCACACCTAACCCCACATGTTTCTTTTTTAATCCCAAATCCAGGGTACATTAATTAATTTTCAGTGCTGGGCTACTCCAGCTGGGCAGCAGTAGGCCCTCAGAAGGGACTGGGTTTTCCTGAGGCTGCAGAGGAAATGGACCCGGCTGCACAGCAACAGGCAGGAAATTCAGGTGGCTGGAGAAGCCATGGCCTGACCCTGGCTTGGGAAGAGTCTGGGGCTCAGATCGGGAAACTCTTAGCATCTCGAGACTTTCTCACCCATGAAGGAAGCCCACAGGGAACAACGAAGTGATGTCAGTGTGCTCGGGCTTGTGGACATGGCTCCCCTGTGACCTTAGGGTACTGTTGGGCTGAGCTGTTCATGTCTGTGGGGCTCCTGGGAGGAGGGTAGTGGAAATCAGCTGGAAGGGACCAGAGAGACCCCTGGCAGGAAGCTGTCTGGGAGCAGCACAGCGGGGCCCTGTTGCCCTAGCGACCGGCCTACCTCCTGTCCCACGCAGGTGCCATGTCGCAGCCATCCGGGGATTCCCGCCAGATCCCACACAGCAGCAAGGCCTGCCGCCGCCTCTTCGGCCCGGTGGACAGCGAGCAGCTGCGCCGTGACTGTGACACGCTCATGGCCAGCTGCCTGCAGGAGGCCCGGCAGCGGTGGAACTTCGACTTTGTAACCGAGACTCCGCTGGAAGGCAACTTCGTCTGGGAGCGGGTGCGCGGCCTGGGGGTGCCCAAGCTCTACCTGACCCCGGGCTCCTGTGGTGGCCGAGACGACACAGGAGGGGGCAGGCGGCCCAGCCCCTCGGCTGCTGTGCTGCAGGGGACAATGGCTCAGGAGGACCACGTGGACCTGTCGCTGTCCTGCACCCTCGTCCCTCGATCCTCTGAGCAGCCCGAGGGGTCCCCAGAGACCCCCGGAACCTCTCAAAGCCGAAAACGGCGGCAGACCAGCATGACAGGTGAGCACAGGTACAGGGGAGGACAATGGAGGGGATCAGGACCCACAGACTCCACTAGCTAAGGGCTTGCACCTTAAAGAAGTAAGGCAGCCCAGAATTGGTTAGGTGGCCTGCATGTAGGCCGTGGCAGAGAGCCACGAGCTAACGTGGGCTGGGCACACAGGACAGGACAGGTGCTGCAGCTCCTAAGACACATCTCGCTTAGCCTTCCAGCAGCCCTGTGCCCTGGGCCACCCTGGCTGGCTACCCTTTAGGAACAGGGGTGCAGGGTTGAAAGAGGCAATATCCTTGTGGCAGAGGGTTTGGCAGACGTGCTTGATCATTCAGACTGCCCTCTCCAGACTTTGTCCTCCTCCTGTTCACAGAAGTCCGTTCCCGTTTCGTTCCCTCCTCAGCACCTTAACGAGAGAGAAGTCTGTGTCTCTCATCCATTGCCAAATCCCCAGCACCCAGAACAGTGTCAGGCACAGAGCTGGGTAAAGATTGAATGAAGCAGCCAACCGTGGGGGCGCACACTGTAATTCCAGCCCTCGGGAGGCTGAGGCAGGAGGATGGGCGCTAGTTTGAGGCTCTTGGTGACAAGGATCATCGAGGCAGTGAGCAGCAGGAGTGGGCGGGATCTCACGGCACCCGCACACGCTGCCTCTGCCATGACCAGGAGGCCCATTGCAGTGCCTCTGCCTCCTCTGGCCGCCTGGGCAGCAGTACAGGGTCCCTGTGAGCCTCTGGGTGACAAATGGAGGCTCCTGAGATCCCCACCCGTAGGTGGCAGTATTTCTCTGGGGTGACCAGGCTAACAACTCTTCCACCCCCACAGATTTCTACCACTCTAAACGCCGCCTGGTTTTCTGCAAGAGGAAGCCCTGATCTCCCACCAGCAGCTGCAGGCTCCCAGAAACCGGCGGGCCACCGGCCCCCTCCACACCTCTTCCCTTTACCCTCCACTTTGTGCGTCTTAATTATTATTTGTGTTTTAATTTAAGCTCTTCCCTGTGTACATACCTGCCTGCCCTCCCCCACCCCCAACCTAGCCTCTGGCATTAGAATTATTTAAAAAAAAAAAAAAGAAATGAGGCAGTAGAGTGGTAGGCTCAGAGAGTGCTGGGTATTTTTATTATATGAAATGTTATTTAAAACCTTCTCTTCCTAGTTGTTTGTCCCCCATCTCCTGTAGAGGGCATGGCTGGCTTCATGCCTGCTGTGCTCTCTTCTGCCCTCACCCACGGGTGGCACAGACCAGAGGGACCCGATTCCCTTCTCTCCAACCTCTGACTCAGTCCTGAGTCCTCAGAATCTGAAAAGTAAATAGATTATAGCACTTTGAAGGGGCCCAGCCAAGTAGGGACATCATCACAAACTTTGGGGTCTTCTCACCCCTGGAGTCGGGCAGGTGACCATGAAGTGGGCACAGCCTGGGACAGATCCCTGCTCTGGCGTCAGTGTCCCACTCCGTCCTGTTGAAGTAGGAAAAATTGGGTCCTGTAGCAGTCTTGCCCCCAGACCCCAGTGCCACCCCTAGGGAGCCTGGCTCCTTCTCTACTTTTGGGGGCCCCCAGCTGTCCCTTTTTCCCAGCTGGCTCTCAAGGCCCCTCTGCTGCTCTCCCCTCCCCCAAGTCCTTCATCTCCAGTACCCTGTTGGCTATGAGTGGCAGCTGTGCGCACCTGTCCCTTAACACCAGGACGTAGGGCTCCTTAGTTCTGCCTTGGGTAGCACAACAGCATGACCGCCTCCTTGTAGTCTGGGGTGGGGTCCTGGATGGCCTCCTGGAACTCCCTGTTGTCCTGTGTTAAAAGTGTAGGGTGGGGAGAGTGGGTTTATAGGACAGAGACCCCAGACCCCAGAAGCCATAGGTGACCATTGGTGGCTGTCTCCATCTAAGCCCCCCACCCACCATCTCACTGCCTTTTGAGTAGCATCTGAACAAGAAGTAGGACAAAGATGGCATCCTGGGACCAGGGATGGCGCCTGCAGGGGCTGTCAGGAGCTTGCGGGGGTGGTGGCTCTGTCCCCACACCCAACACTGACCTCCTAGAGGTGCCAAAGCACTTAGCGGGTCTGATCCTAATCATCCTCCAGCTCCTGCAACATCCTAGCTGGGGCAGTGCCCCTCAGCCCACCCCGCTGACTATCTCCACCTACACTGTAAGCCTCTCAAGGGCAGGGATTGCCCCCATGTTGACCTGTGGCCTTCACAGCCCTCACACAGTACTGGGTACACAGCTGGTGCTCAATAAATATCTCCCGATGACTTTATCTGCATTATCAGAATTGTGGTCATTATGTGCTCTTTTATAAGGAAGGACAAATAGGTGAGTGCCCTGGGAGCTGTTTGCATAGTAGATTCTAAACCTTCAGGAAGATTAGCAATCAAAGCCCTTGCAGCAAAAATCAACAGAAACCACAATAATCTATCATCACATCTCTGCAAAGATCATAGTCACCTGATGGTAGTGACATGTATTGGTATTATGGTGACAGGATGTTGACATATCCTGGTTTGTCGGACAGTCTTTCTGTTTTTAAAGGATAGATTGTAGTTTAACGCCATTACTTACCTGGGAAATGCACGTTACAACCATAATAAACCAAGCATAGTGGCACACGCAAATCATCCCAGCTACCCGGGAGGCTGAGACAGGACGATCACAAGTTCAAGCTAAGTGTTGACCAAGCCATGGAGCAACTGGAACTCTTGTCTCAGTTACTGTGTGTGTGTGTGTGTGTGTGTGTGTGTGTGTGTGTGGTGCTGGGGAGTCAAACCCAGGGCCTTACACATTCTAGGCAAATGCTGTACCACTGAGCTATACCACCAGTTTGTTTGAACTGCTTTCAAAAACTAGTATCTTCTGAAGATGGTTATCCTTATAGCCATCCTACAACCCGGTAAATATTCTTATGTAAGGTTCCTACATAAATGGCATTTCCACTAAAAGATATAAAAAATGTTCTAGCTGCATTATCATAGATCTAAACTAGATAGAATCTCAGTAACAAAAGGAAGGAATTGGAATTTCTGGTATATTTAGATAGTGGATTATTACACCCTAAAACAGAGGCAGGAGGTTTCCAAGTTCAAGTGCAACCTAGGCAACTTTGTAATTCCCTGAAACCCTGTTGCAAACAGAAATAAAGACAAGGGCGCTGGTGGGATGGCTCAGTGGTCTAAAGCACCCACTTAGACCAAGCTAAGCTAAGCAAAGCACAGGGACCGCGGTTCAATCCCCCAGCACCACATGCCAGCCAGCCCTGCCCCCTGGTGGGCTGAGCTGGCCACACACACACAAAATAAATAAATAAATTTTAAAAAACAAAACAACAACAACAAAAAACAAATAAAGACGAGAGGCTGGGCTGTAGCTTAGTGAGGAAACCCTGGGCTGATATGCAGTACCAGAAGAGAGAAAAAGTGGGATAGAGATGAAAGAGCACTTGCTTAGCATACAAGCAAAGTCTGGTTGTCTATCCCTAATTAACCATCCCTGAGCACCATAGTTCAGGGCCAGCCTGACCTGCACAGCATGACCCTGTCTCAGACAAAACAAAATCCCATCCCAATGCTCAGTGGCTTAAACAGTAGCCACTTCTTCAGTCCTGAGTTTGCAATCAGACCTAGAGCTACTTGTCAGGTGCCGGCAGTGTCTCCACTGCACAGGGCCAGGCTTTGATCCCTAACCCCCAACCCTCTCTGGTTCTAATTTCCTAAATTGGCCTTAATCAGCTCAATGAATCAGAGTTGGGTCTTCAAAAGGAAGGGAAGGGATCCAGGATGAGAGGAGACAGGATGAAGGGGACAGGACAGGCAGTGAAAAGGACCAAGCTGTTACATGTCTCAATTCCCCCTTGTTGAGTGTATTTACTATGGGCAAACAGACTAATGAAGAAGAGGAATAAATTGTCCCAGATCACAGAATATCATGGCAGGTTCCAGGTTATTTGATCCCTTTACAATTCCATAGATCTCTGAATTTTCGTAGGGATTGTGGCTGTAAACTACTTTTGATCTGATGTGAATTTGGAAAGCAACTCTTCATGATATGCTGAGAGGCTTTAGACTATTCTAGGAAAGTCAAGAATTAAGACTACGCTAGCAACGTGGCTTCCATAAAATGTAGGCATGCAGAGCTCCACGTCCTATAAGCTCCTGAGGGAAGCACTTTCCTCAGCGGTCCTACCTGAAATGTGGTATTGCTTCTAATTTACCAGCTAAACCGGTGAGAGAAGTTTAGAAACTTCTATTTGGTCCCTGGTGTGGTTTATATCTAGATGCCCCCCCCCCCCAGCCTCAGAGGCTCACAGGCGGGCGTTCGGGAAGCTGATTGGACGATGGGGCAGGATACTCATCAGTTGATTCGTCTGCTGATACTGACAGCCAAATGTGATGTTGGGAGGAGAAGCCTGGTTGGAGGAGGCGGGTCCCGGGGGCGTGGCCTGGAAGGGTATATATAGTGCTCCTTCTCCTTCAAGCCCTTCCTGCTTCATGCTACTGTATCTTGAGCTCGTTCTCCTTTGCCACACCACCCTTGCTTGGAGCTTGCCGACTATGAACTGAAACCTCTATAGCCTTCTATGTTGTGATTTAAGCACTAGTTCAGGAGTGTGCAAAGACCAGCTGCAGGGGTCTTTGGCAGGATGTCTGGGGTTTTTTTTTAAATGTATTTAATACAAGATCTCACTACACAGATCAGACTCATAGTGATCCTGTTTTCAGCCTCCCAAGCACTGGGATTACGGGCACGGGCCACCACGCCAGTGTCAGTTGCCATCTCAGCACACCCTGGAGGCAGGGCCAGGAAAGCGCTCCAGGAATAGAACCCCTGTCCCTGTGTCCATTGGCAGGTTAATCCTGGTCAGAGAGCGCCACCACGAGCCCTTCCTCTTCTGCCCTGTGGCTCACAACTCCTCAGCCCCAGCTCTGCACTCCTGTGCTTCCCAGGTCCAGCCAGACCAACAGCTGTTATGGTGAATGAATCCTTTCCTCCAATAGCAGGGACTACACTTCCCAACTTGAGCAATTCTAAGTCCTGATTGTAAGTTCTTGTCTGGAACACGGTTGGGCAAACCACAGTCCTGTGAACTGGCCACTTGTTTTTGTGTGCGTAGATCAGGAAACACAGATAGCTGGTTATTACTGGTTTTGAAAAGGAAACTACCATTTTAAATAAAGCCTGACAAGAATGCCTGCCAAAATCAGATGGACATGTCAGGACAAGCCTGATAACAGCACATTTCTAAGTTTAACCCATGCTTGTTTAGCTGATGGCCTTGCAATGTCACTTGAGACACTTAAACTTCCATAGCAACGCATGATGTCATCCAACCCACCAATCACAATGCAGCAAATCTGCCTTTGTACCTCCTAGCTTGTTTTCCCTATAAAATTCCCAAAACCTTGCCAGGCACTTACTCTGTGTGAGGGATCCCAGTCAGGCCCACCAGTGTAATAAATTGCCTCCTAGACCTTGGTGCTCTTTCTTCCTGTGTTCAGTCTGTTTTCCTTTAATAGTTTTGTACTATTTTTTTTCTAATAGTGTTTTTTGAGAGAAGGTCTCTCTATTAGCCCAGACAGGCCTCGAACTCCAGCTTAAACTCCTGGCAATGCTCCTGCCTCAGCCTCTGGAGTGCTGGGATTACAGGTGTGCACCACCATGTGCAGATCCCGAGAGAGGTGAGCAGGACCTTGTGAAGTCTTCACTCAGGATAGGCCTGTGTGGGGTTCAGGCGGCTGGACACCCTCACTCTCTGTAGGCTGGGAGGATTTGGGTGAAAGCAGGGCCAGACTCTCAGCTCTATGTACCCCAGTGTCTCCGTTCGGTTCTCAGTACTCAGCTCTTTTCCTATGGAGGTCCTGATGCTGGGCGAGGCATCCACCTCCTTCAGAACCGGATGGGGAGCCAGCTCCTGAGCACATCCGGCCGAGGGGCCTCAGAGAGGTGAGGATCTCTTGGAATGCTGTTCTGGAATTCCTGTCTCCTGAGCCCTGTGTGACCTCTTTCTTCAAGGCTTCTAACAGTCCACTAAAGTCAGCCAACCCCATGCCTGATGGTAGCTGTCACTCACCTCTGTCGGTGCAGCACACCCATTCCGGAAACCAGTGCTACCCCAAACTGTCCCAGACCTCACCTCGCCCCTCCAGATGGTGAGTGTTGGGCTCTGGGACACTGTGCCTACAGGGGTCCTTGCTATCACCTTACCGTGAGCGTCGTGTCCTCAGGAAGGATCTATGCTGAAGACCATCCCGCCCCCTGCCCTTTCTACTATCTATTGCCCTAAGTTTTATTTTCCCTCAAAAAAAAAAAAAAAAAAAAAAAAAAATCAGCAGAAAGTCAAGAGCATGTGCGCAGTAGCTCCTGGGGGGGTGGGGGGCATGGCCAGGGGACCCCACCACAGTCCCTGCTGCACTTCACAGGCTGGGGAAATCCCTGGAAGCAGAGGGCAAGGAGGGTGGAAGCTGCCAGCATGCTGGAACCATCTCCCAGCACTTCCCAGCACTGTCTGGGGGACCCGCCCCACAGAAGCAGGGACTTCGGAGCCAAGGCCTGGGTCTGCATGCTTGGGTCTAGGCCGATGGTCAAAGGAAGGAAGGATTCCACTGGCTGTGCCTGGCGTTTCCTTCCCGAGCTGAGCACTGTCTTGCCAACCCTCTTCGGGTCCCCACCCCCATGTGCCCCAGTGCTGCCCCCGGCACCTGCTGAGTCCTAGGGGGGTGGACATTGGCTATCTACCTCGTCCCGTCAGCCACGGAACCCTCAGTTACCTGATCATGTTCCAATGCACTGGATGGTCTGTGTCCCCGAATCCACAGCCAGCCTGCCACACGGGCACCTGCTCACCATACTTCACAGGTACAGAAATGGAGGCCCAGGCCAGACTCACTTGCCTGGGGTTGGCCCAGGGGACAGGGGCGGCTGGTAAGCGGAAGTGTGACTCAGGGGACAGTGCTGGGGAATAGAGGGAAGCTGCCCCGCCTTTGCCACCCGGGGTCGCTGATGCAACCCAGGCTTGCTCAAGCTCCCAGAAGCACCCCACAAATGCAGCCCTGGTCCTGGGCATTCCTGCTGCCCCCCTGAGCTCCTGCTGGACCCTGGCTCTTACCGTAGCACCCCAGATCAGGGCAGCTTGCTGCAGGCTTTAGTTGACTGAATCCAACCATCAGCCTTCTTGCCAAGCTACCGCGTCAGCCATTTTTTTATTTTGAGACAGGAACTCACTAACTGGCCCACACTGAGCTCAAATTTGGACCCTCCTGCCTCAGCCTCCCAGAATGCTGGGATTACCTGGCATTTAGCAGCGCACCTGGCTACAAAATTTCATTTCTGAGTTGTGTATTTAAATCCAGCTACACCGTATTTTGCAATTAGCCCCACTGTTTCCTACAGCCCCAGATCTAGCTTGCTTCATTGCACTTAGTGGGGGTGGCCAGCCTGGGCAGGTTTCTTCCCTGGGGGCTGATGTCGGGTACAGGCGGGCACAGGCCAAGCCTTACCATGCTGGTTTATTTGCCCCAGTCACCGCCAGCAAAGCCTGTGGGCTCTGCCTTCTAAACATCTCCAGAGTCCATCTCTTCTCACCTCCAGCTGCCGTCCGGTCTGGCATTCCATCCAATCTGGACCTTGCTGCTCTGAGCTACTGCCTTTGACTTGTGCAGTCCCATTGCAGAATGAAAGCAGCTGTGGGATCCTTTTAAAATCTAAATTGGACTGAGCATGGTGGCACACACCCATATTGCCAGCACTCTGGAGGCTGAGCAAGGGGATCACTGAGAGTTCGAGGCCAGCCTGACTCCATATTGAGACCCTGTCTCAAAAATAATTTTTTAAAAAGGTTAGTTGAAGCTCTTCACACCACAAATAGCCTTCCTCTCACAGTGATACCCGGGGCCTTACCTGGCCTCTGGTTTCACCTGCTGCTCCTGGTGACCCCCTCTCCACCACTCTTTCCTTCTTGCCCCTGTCTCCTCGCTGGCCCAAGGCCACGCTCACACCTGCCACAGGACCTCTCACACACTCTTCCCTCCCTCCAGTGCCTCTTCCTGTCAGGTTCTACCTCAGCCTCACCTCACAAGCGTCCCCCAATTGCCCCCATCATCCTCTTCCTTTACGGTTTTCTTTCTTTCTTTCTTTTTCTTTTTGCTTTTTTTTTTTAGGACAGGGTCAATAGGGTCTACAGGGTCTCACTACATAGATCAGACTCGTAATTATTCTCCTGTTTCAGCCTCCCAAGCCCTGGGATTATGAGCGCATGCCACCATGCCAGTCTCAATCACTGTCTCAGTGCACCCGGGGGGATCGAACCCCAGCTGCTGCACTGCCTAAGCAAGTGCTTTAGTGTGTTGAGCTATCAGGCTCGCCCTTCTTTTCCTTTGTTTCTTTCTTCTCCTTTCTTTCTTTCTTTCTTTTTTTTTTTTTGTAAGAAACAGGGTGTCGCTATGGAGTTCAAGCTGACCTCGAATTTCCTATATAGTCCAGGCTGGCCTCAAACTCTTGGTGAACCTCCTGCCTCAGCCTCCCAAGTGCTGGGATCACAGGTGGGCGCCACCACGCCTGGCTAGTTCCGTTCCTAACACTAGTTGCTATTGGACCTCACATCACAGAAGTTTTACCTTCACTCTTGTCCTCTCAGAGGTAAACACAGAGACCAGCGCGGCTAGCTAGTGCTCAGTAAGAACGTGTTGCAATAAATGCCTTGCTTTAGTTCTGTAACCTCTTCATACCGATTTCCTACTCTGACAAAGAAGGGAATCAAAGGAAGCTTTGGTTACAAAGGAATCTTTGTTACACAAGTTTCTATTTGCTTAGAAATTAAGTTCACTGGGCTGGGGAGATAGCTCAGCTGTGGAAATGCCTGCCTGGCAGGCATAAGGACCTGGGTTTGATCCTTGGTACCTCATGCCGTGCCAGCCCCAGAACCCAGGCACAGTAGTGCACACCCATAATCCCAGTGCTGGGGAGACTGAGACAGGAAGATCGCTGTAGGTCTGAACTGTGTACAGAGACCCTGTTTCAAACAAATAAATATTTTTTAAGAAAGAAATTAAGCTTATTATTTCAGGCATGTCAGTGTGTCCTTGCAGTCCCAACTATGTGGGAGGCTGAGGCAGGAGGATCGCTGTAAATTCAAAGCCAGCCTGGACTACATAGTGTAGGAACTGATCTCTTTTTTTTTAGTGGTTTCTTTTTTTTTTTAATTTTATGTGTGTGTGTGTGTGTGTGTGTGTGTGTGTGTGGCCAGCTCTGCCCACCAGGGGGCGGGACTGACTGGCATGTGGTGCTGGGGGATTGAACCGTGGTCCCTGTACTTTGCTAAGCTTGTTCCAAGTAGGTGCTTTAGACCACTGAGCCATCTCACCAGCCCTGGAACTGATCTCAAAAATAACAGCAAAAGTTATTTCACAGCAAAATTGAGCAACATATAATTTTAGGATTTAAAAAAATATTAATGTATTTGGTACAGGGCCTCACTACACAGCTTGGACTCATGATGATCCTCCTGTTTCAGCCTCCCCCACACCCAGTCTTGGTGGTAGGCTGAGCACACCCAGGGTGGGGCCAACACAGCATTGGTACCAAGGATAGAACCCGGGTCCTTGTGCTTGTCTAGGCAGGTACTTAGATCACTGAGCTATCTCCACAGCCCTAATTTTAAGATTTTTAAAAATGCTTAAAACTTGGGTCCACCTTGAATGACATCGTTTCTACCACGTCCTCACCCACTGTTCTGGTGGGCAATTGGATGGACTGTCTTTTCTCCACTGACTTGAAGGGATACCTTTCACTCGCTCTTCTCACCCATGCTGGAATCTGTCCCCATCTGCCCTTTATGCTGTGCCAGGACTCGTGTGTCTGCCTGTGCCCGGAACCACATTATCCTGACTTCCCCTACACACCGTCTGAGGAGGAGGACCCACAGTCAGGAGGCATGTGTATGCCCCAGAGTCCCACTCACCAGCTTTACCTGCAGCCATGCCCTCCGCCTCTGCCCTGGCTGGAGACCCAGGCCCAGAGACTGGGCCTCGAGTTCTGGCTTTGTACCAAAGCTAGGGGACCTTGAACCCCCCAGCACCCCAGATCCCAGCCTGTATACACTAGGGGATGAGCGTTAGATATACAGGTCAAGATCGTGCAAGGAGGGCCCAGGGTCCCTGCGACAGGAAGTGGCATAGATGAGCCGAGGCGATTAACTGCCCAGGAGCGGAAGGGCGATTGGGCAAGAGAGACAGGAGGCTGTTAACCGTCCTGGGCGCGTGGCTTGGGGGTGCTGTCACCTTGCTAGGGTCAGGAGCCTGGGGCTGTGCTGGGAGCACTGCCAGGTGACACTGGACTTGGCCTGGGCAGAGGCTGAAGCAGGGGGTGTCTATCCCTGACGACACTGTGTGTGCAGGCGAGTCTGGTGACGTCTTAGGACCTCAGCTTCCTGGTGAGTGAGGGAAGGCAAGGCGGGTGAGGAATTCTGCTCGGCACTCTGCGGTGACCTGAGACCCCCAAGCTGGATGATAACCATCTGGTCCTGCTGCTCGGGGACAGTGGAGGAGGTGGGAGGCCTGAGGTCCCTGGGGATGCCCTGCAGCGACTGCCCTGTCCTGCCTGAGTCTCTGTCTCTCTGCTTGCTGATGTTTGGCTGTGGGCTTCATGTGATCCTCTAAGTGGGAGACACAGGGCGAGGTTGTGCGGCTGAAGGGCACAAGGGTCACCCAGGATGTGGCAGGGAAGAGGAGAACCCACTGCCCGGCTCTAGGGTGATGCTCTGGGCCACTGTACATGCCAAGTGCCATGAAGACAGGGGTCCTGTGGCTGAGAGCCCAGACATGGAGAGAGGGGCCAGGGCATCCACAGGAGGGGTGTGTGCGTGCATGTGCAAATATATGTGCGTAGAGCAACCCAAGGACGTTCTGCCCCCATCTCTGGGCTGCCGTGGCTGGCCGTGAGGGGAACATCAAGTGCCTTTGGGGCGCTGTGACCCACCCAGACACAGGGCACAGAGATTGCCGGTCCTGGCTAACAATGACCTCCCTGTGGCAGTGCGGGCCGTGGGAACATGCAGAGTCCCCGTCCCCAGGACAAGTGAGAGCCCGTTTCCGAGTCTGGCCTGTGTGACCTCCAGGTCCCTCCCGGGTGCTCCCCTCCATGTCTGCAGAGCTCCCTCTCCAGTTCCTCAGCAGCAAGGCTGGGCATCCCACTGCCTCTCGGGACCTCCCTCAGTTTCCCCGTCTGCCCAGTGGGGAGCCTTGGTGTCTGTGGCTTGAAAGGAATCTCCCTCTTCAGTGGCACTGCCGCTGCCTCTGTGTACCCAGCTGTCACTGTGGGCCAAGCAGCGCTGAAAGTGCCAGGCATGGATTCTAGAGTCAACAAATATATTTGCCAAGTACCAGCTGTGTATCCAGCAGGACACAGGGAGGGCTTGGGCCGTCCCAAGGCCACACGGCTACACAGCAGTAGAGGCGCTGTGACTGGGGTGGCCCTCACCAGGCCCACGGAGGGTAGGCCCAGGTAGGCGGTAGGAATGCCGAGGAGGCCCCAGGTTGAAACCGTTTCCCTGTTCACCCCCATCCCACCCTTCACCCCACTGCCCACCCCATCAGTGAAGAAGCTGCAAACCAGCAGAAAAGCAGGGCAACCGGCACCGTGAAGGCCACCCAGCATGCTGGTCCCCACTGTGACCCCTGTGCCCACACTCCTTCCATGCACTTGACTGACCCCCTTGTTTTCCTTCATTTCTGTTTCTTTGGAATCACTTGAAGGTAAATTGCAGACACTGACATCATCCGTAGCTTTTGAGTGTGTTGTGGCGCTGATGGGGATGGAACCCAGGGTCTCTGCACTGAGTTCCACGCCCAGGCTTTCAAAATTTTTATTGTTTTATCTTGAGACAGAATCTCCCTAGGTAGGTTACCCAGGCTGGGCTCAACCCTCCTGCCTCAGCCTCTCAGAGCACCGCATACCCGGCCTCAGCGCGTCGGGAGGTCGAGGAAATTCTCCAACTCGATCTTTGTTCCACCTAAGAAACTCCCCACAGCCCAACGGCCCTGAGACGCACGCGGGCTCCCATTTCCCTGGATGTCCCCACATGTCCTTATTCCGACTCTTTTTTTTCTGAAAGAGTTGGGAAGCAGGCATGGACCACCGCAGGTGTCCTGACGCAGGCTCCAGGAGGCTAGAGGGTCTGGGGGTGTCCGCAGCCCGGCGCCCCCTCACGTCTCCTGTGTTCCTGGGTCAGGCCCCGTGGAAAGTGGCCAGAGAATGTACCGGAAGGGCCGGAAGCTTGGCTCCAGCCGCCGCCGGCAGTTGAGAGAGCCGGCCGACGGCCAGGATGCCCTGGGCGACCCAGGACCCGAGGCCTGGACCCCGGAAGCCGAGGCGGAGCTGCAGACCTTCTTCCAGGACTGCGGGGCCAAGGACAGAGGCTTTGTGACCCGCGAGGACCTGGCGGTGAGTTTGAGGCCCCAGCTTCCTCTCTGCAGCTCCTAAGACCCTGTTCCCCTTTTTGCATCTTAAAGTTGTTTTCAGAACCTGCTGGGATTTTTTTTTTTTAATTTTTATTTATTTGAGAGAGAGAGAGAGAGAGAGAGAGAGAGAGAGAGAGAGAGAGAGAGAGAGAGAGAGAGAGAGAGAGAGAGAGAGAGTGTGGCCAGCTCAGCCCACCAGGTGGCGGGGCTGGCCGGCATGTGGTGCTGGGGGATTGAACCGCGGTCCCTGATGCTTTGCTAAGCTTGTTCTAAGTAGGTGCTTTAGACCACTGAGCCATCTCTCCAGCCCCCTGCTGGGATTTTTAATACCAACATCGAAATGGCTGATAGAACTTCACACGTAGCCCCTTTCAGGAACCCTGCACCTACCGAAGGAGAGGGCCTTTTTTGCCTTTGAGCAGGAGAAGCTTGTCGTGGGGATGGGTCAGAATCCTGTAAATCAAACCACGACCATGACTATAAGTTTGGGGAAACAAATCAGGTTGAGCCGGGCATGGTGCCACACACCGGTAATCCCTGCACTCTGGGAGGCTGAGGCAAGAGGCTTCAAGTTTGAGCCCAGCCTGTGCAATTTAGATTTAGTGAGATGCTGTTTTTTTTTTTTTTTTTAAAGTTTATTTATTGTGTGTGTGTGTGTGTGTGTGTGTGTGGCCAGCTCAGCCCACCAGGGGGCGCGGCTGGCTGGCATGTGGTGCTGGGGGATCAAACCGCGGTCCCTGTGCTTTGCCAAGCTTGTTCCAAGTAGGTGCTTTAGACCACTGAGCCATCTCGCCAGCCCCTGAGATGCTGTTTTGAAATGGTAAGGCCAGGGCTGGCCAGATAGATCAGCGGACTAAAGTGCCTGCTTAGGCAGATGCGGGGACCGGGGTTCAATCCCCTGCATGTCATGCTGGCCCCGCCCCTGGGATGCCCTGAGACTGTGACTGAGACTAGGCATGGTGGTGCATACCTGTAATCCCAGCACTTGGGAGGCTGAAAACAGGAGGGTCACTATGAGTCCGATCTGTGTAGTGAGACCCTGTAGATCCTGTACTAAATACGAGGAGGAGGGAGAAGGGAGAAGGGAGAAGGGAGAAGGGAGAAGGGAGAAGGGAGAAGAAGGGAGAAGAAGGGAGAAGGGAGAAGAAGGGAGAAGGGAGAAGGGAGAAGGGAGAAGAAGAAGAAGGGAGAAGAAGAAGAAGGGAGAAGAAGAAGAAGAAGAAGAAGAAGAAGAAGAAGAAG